GCAAGGTCCTGATCCTGAAGATGTTTAGGAATGTGCTTAATTTTTCTACTTACTAGGAGCTTTGAATGTGTAAAACTTAGGCTCCAAATCTTGCATGTCTTGTCTGTTAAGAGGTAAGCATTGTGAGTGATGTTAGAAACTTAACAATCAGGCATGCCAGTAAAAATGAGGACGTGAAATAAACCCGGAAATGGTAAAGGACTAGTATTTTCTTTTTATGGTGTATATATTTACAAGCCTTCTGAAGAGCAGTTCTTTTCTCCCTCTCCATTACTGTTTTATATTGCCAGTTGAAAGCTAAATGGGAAGCAAGAGTTAAATCTATTGCTTAAATATAATCCACTTCAATAGGTAAGGGCCAAGAAATCCCCCGACAATTCTCTAAGGGTATGTCACTCACCACGCTGGAGATCAATGTTCTGGCGTTCGATTTAGTGGGTCTAGTATAGTCCTGTAAATCAAATACTGAGGGCAGCTCTGGCCAGTGCCTGTACTCCTTGCAGTTCTGAGGAGTAAGGGAAGCCCACGGGAGTGTTTGCTCCTGTTGGCCTCCCATTATGCAGACACACTGCCAAGCTCATCCCAAGGTAAGGTATTCTACATAGTGGAGTTGCGTACCTTAGGCCAACCTTCAGGTCTAGTAGAGCTCGCCTAAATCTTGAAAAAATTGTGTCAAAGGGTTAAAATAAAGATGTTTTTAACCAGACTTTTCTAAAATACCTTGTAGGTTTCCAGTGTTATATCAGAGGCAGCAGGAGAGAGGGGGCAGGTGGTGAGAGGAATGGCTGCAGTTCACTGTTTTCTACATATCATTTTCCTAGAGCATGGGTGGGGAACCTTTTTTGCGTCAGGGGCCACTGACCCATAGAAAAATCAGTCGGGTCTGCCCACAAGTGAGAAGCAGAAAAAAGAAAAACCCTTATTTACGTGGCTCCCAACTGAGAAGGAGAAATATATCCACCCCAGAGCCTAGGGGGTGAGCCCAGGCTAGTAGATTTTTGTCTGTTCAGCCTCCTGGTGGGGTAGAGTAGCAAGGGGTTGCCTCTCTAGTGTTGGGGACGGGGAGGAGAGGGGCCTGGATCTAGGCAAGCTGGGTGTCGCATCCGACCCTCAGGCCTGAGGTTCCCCATCCCTGTCTAGAGAAAAGGGACCCTCTGAGTGCACTGATTCTGTTAGGATTGTGGTGAGCTTAAGTTGGACAATTTTGCATGCAAGGAAATTGCTGGGTCCTTTCAGTAGTATAGAGTACACTCAAAACATGTGAAGCTGCATGTGTCAGTCCAAGGAAATCTGCAACTCCACACTCGTCACTGGAGAATGTAGCTACACACCTCTGTGAAAGGTGGAAGGCCTCTGAAAGTGGGACAATACACTACTAAAAATCTACACTGCTTGGGCATGTAGAGCGCTTGTAGGATAGATACCTGGGGCTTCAGCTGTGTAGGGCGCTGTGCTCTGTGTGCTTAAATAGCATCTCGCTATCTACATTGCACTTTATACCAGTGCTAGCTGGGTGTGCAGTGTAATAAGCGTAGGTGTAGCCTGAACTGCTGCCACCTCACCCTATCTACATTCTTTTATGCCCCAGCGTCACACCTGTTTGCTTTTTCTAAAATCAGTTTGTGAGACTGGCCAGATGCATGGTAAGTTATTTAAATGGAGTTAGGGACGGAAAGAGGGTTTTATGGTTAAGGCACTGGGCTCTGGCCCATAGCATATAGGTTCAACCCTAGCTCCTGTACAAATTTCCTGTGTGTTATGAGGTGAGCGCTCGCCCCATGGCACCTCCAATTGGTTAGTTGGGAAATCAGCTCTTCTGCCTCAGAGCGCCTTCTGCTGGTCAGTGGCAGTGTCCCAGCCTCTGGTGCAGGTCCCCTGCTGATTCAGCCCCTGTCCCTTCCTGCCCACTATGCCCTTTCCTCCTCGTACTGTCCTATGTAAGTGCCCTCGCACTCTGGGGTTTCCCCTCCCTGAGAAGCCCCAATTTCCCTATATCCACCGTGCATCCGTGACCCACTGCCAGTCCTCACCTAGCCCCTGCAAGCTGCAGTCTGAAATGGCCATTCCTTGTTGGCAAGGGGGTCTGGGTCTGCTGCCTTTTCCTATCCAGGCTGTTTCCTGGCAGCCCTCATACTCTCTGGTCTTGCCTCAAGCCCTGCAACCTGGGGGTGGGGTGGGGTGGGGTGGGGTGAGGTAAGGTCAGGCCAGAGCTCCCCATCACTGCTGTGTCTCAAGAAGCCTCTAGCTTCCCAGGCAGCCAGGTCCTTCCTACTCACCAGCAAGAGGGTGTATTGCTCCCTCCAGGAGCTCTTATTTATATAGCCCCAGCTGGGCCCTAATTGGCTGTATCTGCCTCAGCTGCTGGCTCCTTGCTCCCAGCCTTCCCCCAGGGATGGGTTTAACTCTTAAAGGGCCCTGTCACATTGTGTCTTTTGGCAAGTTATTTAACCTTAAACTTTCCTAAATAACTTGTAATTTTAGTGTGCGTATCTTATCTTAAAAGGCCATTATTTTCAGAGAGTGCATGTTCACATTTTCTAAAAGCAGGTCTGTTTTAAAGTATCTTTAGTTGTACACCCAAAACAAGGTACCCAGAATCAATAGTTGCTCCTAAATGGTTAGACCTTAATCTGTTTCATGTTTCCTCTGTAATATGGGGATGATAATCGTTGTCAATCTTGTCTATTTAGATTGTAAATTCTTCAGGGCAAGAGGATTATTTTTTACCAGTTGTTTGTACAGCACCTAGCACAGCAGGGCCTGGAGTTCTGCTGAGGCCTCTATTTGCTACTATAATACAAATAAAAAATCCACAATTGTCATCAACGTCAGTAGCAATCATCAGGCTCATCTCTACAAAAGATTGAATCCATAATTAGACTGATCCTATCTATGATCTTGAAATGCTGACTTTTCCTCCTCAAAGGAACAGAGATATTGAGGGCTCAGTCCTGCTCCCTGGGAGCATGGGGCTGCAGCGAGCTCCAGGGAAGTCCGTTGTGGGTGCCTAACTGCTGAGTGTTTCAGAGGTTACACATTTACACAATTACCCACATTTTAACTGCTGTGAACAATATTACACTTGCGTCAATTGTATGAATCTCATTCTAGAATATAGAACTGTACATATCTGCATTAGGGGCATAACTTTATATTGCAAGAATAAATCTTGAACTAAATCTTTTGAGGCTTGTCGTATCTTGCATGGGTTTAAACTGGGAATAGGTCTGTAAGTGTCCAGTTAATGAATTCTTTTAGAGCAAGGATTTTAAAACTCTAGATCACAGCTTCTAAGGGCAAGTCACTAGCTGGCTGCAAGATGCTTTGGTTGCCTGAGTGTCCACAGGCATGGCTGCTCGCAGCTCCGAGTGGCCAGGGTACATGGTTCCTGGCCAGGGTACATAGTTCTTAGCCAGTGAGAGCTGTGGGAAGCAGTGGCTCAGCCTGCACTGCTTCCCGCAGCTCCCATTGGCCGGGACTGGTGTACTGTGGCCACTGGGAGCTGTGGGCTGCTATGGTTGTGGATGCTCAGGTAAACAAAGCATCTTGTGGCCAGCTAGCAGCTAACCCTTACAAGCTGTGACCCAGAGTTTGAAAACCCCTTCTTTAGAGGAGGTTCACTCTGATGCTAACACTTGTGAAGCAAGTGACATGCTTTACTTGCATAATGGCCAAGCATTATGACTTCTGTGTGGGTAAAGGACTGGGGGTAGGATGGTGGTGTCCTTCCCTGCTCACTGAATACTACTGTGGGTCACCGGGGAAGCCTCTATTCAAAGTGAAACCAAGTAAACCCCAGTTATAGGAAATGTATTATGGACATCAATCTTACCGTGGATCTCCATAACTATATTAGAACCTCAATTGCAAATTACTACTTCATGTACAAAGAGCATATATAGTGCTTCATGAAACAGACGTAATTTGTTAGAAAACTTTAATTGGTGTTCATATTTATAGAGAAAATATTTGAGTAGTGGGCAGCCTCATTTCAGTGGTGTTTGCTGCTATTAAATTTTTGCTGAAAAGTAGATAGAGATTACTTTAATGTGTCAGTTTTAGGGCCTGGGCTAGCAAGGTTATTTGTGATTCAAAACGTACCCCCCTCCAATGGGTTTTAAAGCCCTGAATGTAATCAAACATTTGTATTTTGATTAAAATGTCCCTGTAAAATTTACTTTAAAATCCTGTCAGCAATGTTGTTAACCCCCAGGCAATCTTAGGACTTCTCTACTCAGACAAGATACTGAGCAAGAAAGTTACAGCACAGATGTGTGAAAAAACATGTGCACGTACACACAGCGCTGGGAGAGCAGCAACCATCCTGCCATGTTAAAGCACTGCCGTGAGCGCTTTAATGTTGTGAGTGTAGGCAAAGTCTTAATTGTGGTATTTTCTAACTTTCGAGTGCTTGACAATAGCCACCGTAATGGTCTTTTGATGCAGGATTTTGTGTGTGCTGTTTCCAAGATTGGGGGGGGGAGGGTGGGACTGAAAAAAGGTATCAAATCCTAGCCTCATTCTTGGAAACAGATTAAGCATTTTGAATGAAACTTTAAAAAAATGTTTAGCATGAGACAGATATTTGGCATGGAAAATTTCAGCCCAAATGGTTGAAACTTGAAGAAGTTCTATCCAACTAGAAGTAGGGTTTTACCAAGACAGTGTTGGTCAGCTTTGTCTTCCTGTAATTTGCAAATGTTCCTGTATATCGGGGTGGGGAACCTTTTTTGGGTTGGGGGCTGCTGACCCACTGAAAAATCAGTCGAGGGCCACACACAAGTGAGAAGCAAAACAAACAAAAAGACCCACTCTCCCTCACTGATGTGGCCCCCAGCTGAGAAGGAAAAAGATTCTCCCCCTGTTCTCCTTGCTCACAAGAGCCTGGGGGGCCCAGGCTAGTAGATTTGGTGTGTTCCAGCCCCACAGGGGGTAGCAGGGGGCTGCCTGCCAGCACGGATTCCCCAGCACTGGGGGAGAGCCCCGAGCCTCGGTGCCGGATCTAGGCAAGCCAGGGGCCAGATCCGGCCCCTGGGCCTGAGTTTTCCCACCCCTGCTGTATCTTGTTTAAGCTTCCTGTTTGAAGTTCTCTGTATACAGTTTTGTTTTTAAAAGTTTTTTTTTTAAATATTTCCCCTTTTAATTTTGTATCTACATTCAGTAGGGATGTAAATGTTTCACTGATAAGCTGTTGCTTATCAGTTCGTGTTAACTGCCGTGTGGCTTTGCCATCAAGGTGCGGGTTGATACGTTTTTTTCAGCTTGTATTGTTCATAAGTGCAGCATTCTACTTCAGTCTACTCAGTAGTATTCCTTATGCAACTGAAACTGGAATCTGGCCTCTAGTATCTGTATTCACGTCTATGTATCTTTTTTTTTTTTTTTAAATCAGGCTGTTGCACAATGGATGGGGGAGATGGCACTTCTGACCTTGTAATTAACAAAAGATTTGTGTCTGAATCGGAGCTAGACGAGCGGAGGAAGAGACGACAGGAAGAATGGGAGAAGGTTCGAAAACCTGAAGACCCAGAAGGTAGTTGGATGTAGTTTGATAATTGTAGGAAAGAGATCCAAAGAATATTTAATGGTCTCTACAAACAAATATTGCGGGTACCAACTACTATGCATGTGAGAATATTTAAATGCCTCAAGTGAGGAAACAGATTAAAACCATGTTTGCTATGTAAAGAATAATAATGAAGAAATAGACTAAGATATGTTCTTGCTTCTTGTTCTCTTCCTATCTCTCAGAATGCCCCGAGGAGGCATATGACCCACGTTCACTATATGAAAGACTGCAAGAA